TTGTTCAAGTAAGAGGTGGGTACTTATTTATTGTTCAAGTAAGAGGTGGGCACTTATTTATTGTTCAAGTAAGAGATGGGTACTTATTTATTGTTCAAGTAAGAGGTGGGTATTTATTTATTGTTCAAGTAAGAGGTGGGTACTTATTTATTGTCCAAGTAAAATATGGTATGTGATTTGGCATATTTTTGGTTGAATTCTGTTAAATAAAGACTTTCTGAAGAAGATTACTGTTAATTTCAGTAGATGTTTTGAGGCCCCTTGTAAAGGTCAAGGTCAAAATAGTTACCATGATTATTCTACATTTATATGATGCAATTACTGTAAAATGACTAATTTTTGTGGGATTTAATTCATTAAATAGGGGATTTGCTTTTGTGGTTGGTAGACATACTGCAAAATCTTTTTGTTTACTCCATAGACAAAGAATGGTTAGATGGAGACACCTCTTGAATTAGATTCAAGGCCAAAGATATGACTAGCGCTTATTTCAAGTGATCCAGTGCAGAATTTTTTTTTTTTTAAACTAAAAAACTTTTTACCCTAAAAAGATTTACAATATGTTCAGAGGAATACATGCATGGATGTCATTCATTCAGAGATTAAGGTCAAAATTGTCTATTTGCACATGAACACACTTTCATATGTTTAAAACAGTTGAATATATTTCAGCATGCAGATTTATTCTTTTGACAAATAGTGAAACTTGCTTTGTGTTACAACTTACAAGATACCTGCTTTATAGTCTATTCCTGTGTGTTATTACTGGATTGTAAAGCCATTCGGGCAGTGTTTTAATTATCTGTATAGATTGAATTGTCAGGGTCACCAAAGTTCATTTTAATTTTCTCTTTTTCCCTTGACATAGAGAAATTTAAATTTAAATTATTGACACATTTTTGTTCCACTAGAGGGAGAGGCTGAGGAAAAATTATGGTATGTATGGAGGATCCACTAACTCTACAGCATCAGCTCCAGCCACACAATCCACTGCACCGGTATGTCCTCAAGCCAAATCTGGGATCTAATGTAGACCTCTTATATCAGTCTAGCAATAGATATTTAGGTTTTGATTTAATTTAAGGTCAGTGAAAACAGTGATATTTTAAGATTTTAAAACTTCTATAGCCTTTTCAAATTTCAGCCAACAAGACACGGCCAACCAAAAAAAAAAAAGAAAGAAAGAAAGAAAAAATCAAATGTGAAACATTGCACTGAATTTTTTTTTTTTTTTGAAAGGAAACTTTATATTTCAAACAATATTCAATGTAATTGTAATAAGTTGTGTACTTATTTTCAAAAAGTAAATGTTGTTGTGAGTATTTATGTTTAAGTAAATAAACTTTTTTATTTAGGTATCTGCTCCCATGATCGACACCACGGACATGGATCCTGAGTTAGCTCGCTACCTTGACAGGAACTACTGGCAGAGAAAGTCAGAGGACAGTAAACAACCCATAACCAATAGTAACCCGACCACAACCACCCCATCTGCTCCTGTAGCCAACACCGAATCAAAACAGGCAGGGGTGGTAACTGGAGGAGGGGTAGTTATGGAGGTGAATTTCATTTAATGTTGCACATTCCATTTCCCCAAATCAAATCGTTATTTAAATTAATCAGGTGAAATGCTTACTTGTGCAAGAAATTATACAACATTTAACTTCCTTTAACTGTTAGAGCTTTGAAAAAGGACCTAACAAAATTTATTTTTCTTTTATCTTTGGATGTATCTGCAATGAATCATTCGTTCATTTTCCGACAGGCCTTTCAGAATGGAGCAGACGAGGGGGACCAAGAGCAGTTTCTGCGTGCCCTAAAGAGCAGTCTAGAGATATTTGTCAACAGAATGAAGAGCAATTCCCAGCGTGGTCGCAGTATTGCAAATGATTCATCAGTGCAATCACTGTTCAATGTCATCTCAAACATGCATCCCCAGCTGATGAAGTACACTCAAGAACAAGAGGATATGAGAGGTAAAGCAGACTTCAGAAAAAAAAAAATGTCCTGGCCAAATAAGTTATAGTTACACTATAGATATTAATTGGTTAGCGGTAAATACACTCACAGTTTTTCATTCACGAGGGGCGGAGCCCCGAGTGAATAAAAACTGTGAGTGTATTTACCACTAACCAATTAATATCTATTTTGTAAGTTACTTGTACCAGAGGACCAATGAGAAAAAAGCAAGTTGATAATTAGCGCCGCCTACTACAAGGTGTCAAGTCACGGTCCGGAGTCTGTATAAATAGCGGTCTCCATCTGCAAGGATCTGTGGCACTGCTGCTGCAAATCGTTGATAAAAAATTCGGAATTGGTATGTGTGAAGATATTGTACCTTTGGAATGTTGAAGACACATAAAACATGATTTTTGTCAGGTACAGGGTAGCGATTGTTGGCTTTTATATTCAGGCCGTCAACTCTGAAAGAAAATTTATCTTTCTATATTGATTTTTTTTTTTTTTTTAATGAAAAAAGGGTGGATGGGTATGGGAAACATCGCCACTGAAAATTTTCTTTATGGCAATCGGCGTATACAGAAAAAAATGAATTGATTTCTGACATTTTAATGAAAGTTTGAAATGGTATTGGAAGTAAAAAAAATGCAGGGACTTCTGATGTGAAATTGCTATATGTATTTAGAGATGGGAAAGAGAATGACGAGAATTCGAGATAGGACGTATCATTTACTGATTAAGGATACGCGGAGAAAACATAAAGAAACATTTATGAAGCAAACATCGACAAGCTAATGTTAGTATTCTTGAATTGAAAATGCTGACTTAATTCATTCATCAGCCATTGCCAAGGTCTGGAAATTAACATCATTCATTCATCAGTCAAGGTCTTGTCACAGTATGGCTTGATGCCAAAAGGTGGGCGTGACTTAAAAAAACTGTGATTCTTCAGGCAAATACACCCCAGCAACATCAAAGCAAAATCTAACTTTACAGCCAGTCCTATTTTACAATATTTTGTTTGCTCATGATATTTTTGGAATAATGTTTGTATAGAAGTAAAAAAAAAAAACACTGGAACATGTACATATATGTGTTTGTGTTATCTTACGTATACATGTATTGTACTCTGAATTATAATACAATTTGATTTTCGTTGACAGGACATTACGAGTCCTTACAAGACAAGCTTGCCCAGCTCCGAGATGCCCGCGAGGCTCTGGATGCTCTACGTGAGGATTATCGAGAGAAGAAGCGACGAGAACAGGAGGAACTGGAGAGACAGAGGCAGATACAGATGGCTCAGAAGTTAGAGATCATGAGGCAGAAGAAGCATGTAAGTCCACACAGAAGCGTAATTTGTCCAAATTCATCTCAAAATTAAGTCCCATGCTAATTTTTAATAAGTCTCAATTTAATCAAATCTGTATACTTTGGATACTCTGTATTCGGTAATTTGCACACCTTAATGCAATTTGCAGATTGCTCATAAATAATTTTAAGTATTTCCTCAAAGACCACTTGCTTCAACTCTCAATCAAAATTGGTCAACAAAACCATATGCTTTGATTAAATGAATCAAAAGACACATTTTAAATTACTGTAAACATATTTTTTTTTATTAGCTAAGAATTCCAAGGGATCACAGCTTCTGTTCAATCCACATGTAGAAAATTACTTGTACCCAAATCTTTTGGATTGCCTTTGTATGTCTTTAAGAAACTTTTAAGTACATTGTTACAAATTCCACAGGAAGAAAAGTATGTCTACAGTATCCTGACCACACACTTTTCAGAGAATTCTTTTGGGACATTCTTCACAATAGCATGTCAAATGAAAACAAATGAAAAAAAATAGCCATAAACATTGTTTACTGATCACCGAACATCATAAAATCAATTTTCTTTTAATTTTTTTTTAAATTTCAGGAATACTTAGAAATGCAGAGACAGTTGGCTTTGCAACGATTGCAAGAACAAGAGAGAGAAATGCAAATGCGATTTGAACAACAGAAGCAGTTAACTCAGATGAGGCAGATGCAGGCATATGGATACCCTCCGAACGTGAGTCAATATATACATAATACAATCTCTATTACATTCGCTGTCTTACACTGTGATAGGTTATACATATATGCACTTGTACATGAATTTAATTTTGAACACTTAGGCTTATGGGCAGATGCCACCAATGCAGGGCATACCCGGACAAACCTTTAGTCCAATCAATTCTGTGGATGGTTCTCCAGTCCATCAGATGCATCAGAATGCTTATCCTCCAATGGGTGTGGGTCCAGGTAATATGAACATGGGACCAGGGCAGGGCATACCACAAATGCAGGGCGGAATGAATGTGGGAATGGGGCCCTCTGGAGGGAGCATTGATCAACAGAACATGATAAATCAGGGCCCTATTGGGGCAGGACAGCCACAGATGCAGCAGACACCTCAGCGGCAGATGTATACTGTTCCTAGTTCACAAGCAGGAGGGCAGTTTCCACCAGGATCCACACAACCTGTTAATTTGCCTGGGACATACCATTCTGAACAGGGGCAAAACAGTTACCAACCACAGATGCAATATAGCATGTCACCTCCCATGAACCAGGGGTACATGCCACCTCCTAATATGGATTACAAGGCATTCAATATGCAAAGCAAGTGAATTTTTATGTTTTAAGTGTAGAATTTTTTTTACTTAAATGAGTACTTGTTTTGAAAATATCAGTTAAAAATTTATTTCATATTTTATTGTTGTAATGTTTTGTTGACAGATATGTCCAATGCTTTGCCCCCGCAGAATCAGCAAGGTGTGTATTCAACCCCCTCAGGTCAACAACAGCAATATATGACAGGCCCTCCCCCTCCTCAAAGTCAGCAGTATCAACAGGGAGGACCCCCTCCCCAGGGGCCTCCTCCCCAACAACCTCCCCCAGCCCCCACACAACTGGAGGGAGAACTGATTTCATTCGATTGATGTACAAATTCAATAGCTGATCAGCGTATTTCAGTAATACAGATATATTGAAAGAATAACCAGACTATAGACAACATTTATTGGATACTTAAGAATTTTGTGTTGTAGCATTGAAAACATGCTTGAAGTTGATTGTTGTAAACTAAAAAGTACAATGTGAAAATGATTTTTTCTTCTTTGTCACAGATTTGGGTTTCATAATAATTGTAAATCAACATCTATGATATTACATGTATTACATCATTTGTTGAGCTATATAATAAAAAAATTCTACCAAGTTAAACAAATATATATGTAATATGGTTTCTTATAAAATGACATATGTGTACATATACCAAAAAATTTTGCAGATACTTAATATTGGTACAGGTAAATAAAGGATCCTTTAGATAAAATGAACAGCTTGTCAAGTTTGCAAGGTATTTACATGTATATCTAGGATTTCTTGAAGATCAAGGTTTTATTATTTGCTGGCATATCAACCTACAAATTAAACAATGCACATGTTTAGTACTAAGAAATTTGACAAACCACTGTATTTACTAGTAATTATATGGAATAAATTGTAGTAATGTATGGTTAATACAGGCATCTTTAACTAACTTACTGTTTTCATGAGAGCCATTCCATTCTGAATTGCAAGCTTTTCTACATCATCAACATCTCTGACACCCCAGCTACTGTCCCTGTAATAAATATACTTGACATGTCCAAAGAACTACAAGGTACAGAAGATACTGTACTTGATTCGCATTTAATACATATATTGATATTTTAATGTATATATATATACATGTTGAAAGATGTACAAGGTACATGTACAGGAAAAGATGAAGACCTTGATAAGCAAAGTATAATAATAATGCTCAAATGTACTTGTCCCTTTACAAGGTTACAGGGTAGACATCAGCTTTACCTTTGTCTGAGGGAAGCATCAAATGAAACATTGCTCTCTGGAATCAGTTTACCATGAACTGCAAATGGCTGAAAAGACATTTACATTTGTACATGTAAATGCATTTAGGTAAATAAGAACATAAGGATAGCTTTTCTGATCAGAATAAGAGCTTAAGAAATCCCTTCAAGGAAGTACTGGCAGACCAGATAGGAGACTGAAACAGTTCATTTGCAGAACAGTTAATAGAATGCATATTTCTACCCATTCTCCATTTGTGGAGTGTAAATGTTTTATTTGATTTTAAAATATATATAAATTGCATTGAGAGGGGAAAACCTGGAATTATTTTTTCCTCAACCGTGCTTTGATGTGAACCCCAACAAAATATTGCTATGAAAACTGCACGTTACATTTTCCCACAGTCAGACAACATGATTCAGTTCCCAGCAGCAGAAAACTGTCATTAATTTACTTACCCCATATAAAAATAGCAAACCTCCACTCTTCAGGAGGCTTCCACAGCCTTTAAATAATCCCTACAAAAAGGATGTGTAATTGTTTCTTATAATGATCAAATGATAAATAAATTAAAAATATTATTTCACCATAACCTAGTTGAATGTTCTCCAAAGCTTACTATTGCTGTATCCCAGGGTGAAATGTGAATCATGTTCATATTGACCACAGCATCAAATGAAGCAGCCTGGAATTTTCCCTCATTCCAGGACTGAACAGGAGAGGTTACATCTATTGGTATAGGTTCATTTATGTTCTGTAGGCCATAATGTTCCTTATATGCTGAAATACTAGAAGATTACGCATAATGCAAAACATGGTTCTGTATTCATGTATAGGATGAAAAATATATACATCCTTCTACATTCCAACAATTAATACAAATGTAATAAAATTCATGAATTCTACAAATAAATATATAATTTCTGCTCAAAAAAACCAAGTCAAATAATTCATATGTGTAATATATGAATGTGAATATGTACATGTATAATTTTAATCAGTCCTTTAATATTATATATTAATTGAATTACCTTTCTAAACATCTTTGATCAATCTCACTGGGTTGCCATTTTATTAGAGGAAAATTTTGTGCAAACAGGGCAACATGAGCCCCACAACCTGAGGCAATCTCCAGGGCCTGCCCCTCTTTATTAGCTGGCAAATGGTCCTTCAGAACATTCAACATGTGCTCTTTATTTCTTTCTGCTGCTGGGAACTGTAACATGTTGTCTGAGTGTGATGTTGAAAAATATCTTGCATACAAGTATGATTGTTTCCTCTGGATAGTGCAGGTAAGAAATCTGATGAGCAAACAACTCATGCATCAAAATCTGTCAATAAACACAATTCAATCATTCAGGAATTGTATATAGATATACCGAGACACTGTGGAATTATTTATGTATAATTATTAATTACAGTTCAACTTCGTTATCATGGATATCTCAAAGCCAGTTGAAAGTCCCAATTACTTTTTCTTTAATCTGTATTTTAAACTCATCCAATACTTGGATATTAATTTCCAAGTTTTTTCTTAATCCCATCAATATATAACAGGCCTGTAGCAACGGTTTCAAAAGGGGGGGGGGGGGGCAACTTCCCAGAAAAATCTGAGAAGCAAAACAAAATAACCTGACCAAAAGTGGGGGGGGGGGGGGGGGGGGCAACTTCCCAGAAAAATCTGAGAAGCAAAACAAAAAAAATTAAACTGACCAAAAGGGGGCAACTTCCCAAAATTATCTGACAAGCAAATAAAAAAGGTCATTTATTGTCCAAATCATGGAATTTGCCAGTGCTGGACCTTACAACATTAAAAAGTGGGGGGGGGGGCAACCAGCATATGAGGGAAAATTTACTATAGCAAAATGCTATACTCAGAAAAAAGTGGTGGAGGCGGGGCCCCTCCAACCCCCCCCCCACCCCCCCCACCCCCGCGTTCTATGAGATAATGAGGTTTGAGTGTGATGGATACTCCTGTGTGGTTGCAAGGTACTGTAGTTCTAACACTTTATATAGTTTATTGGTTCAAGTTCTGTTTGTGCCACAGATTTACATTGTCAAAAAATACAAGCAGGGTAAGGTACCATGAAAAGACCCACGTTACACTTATATCGAATGATGATCATAGAAGGAATGCACTTATCATTCTCAGTGTTTTTGTATGCAATAACATTGTATTAACCAGAACAAAAAAAAGTCTGCGCCGCCCGGGAATCGAACCCGGGTCGCAAGAATGGGAATCTTGCATGATACCACTACACCAGCGGCGCCTTGATTCCGATGTTATGAAAATTAAATATTTATTGTTTATTTTCCAGTTTTATCTTTATCGTTTTCACTTCTTCTGATACATCTGATATCATTGTATAAGTTAAATATGTTTATAACTATGGCTTTTCCCGAATTTAACTTTCTGATCAACATGACCTACCTTTACAAAACAGTCCTTCCTTCTATTTGACCTTGTGCGCAATGTTTTGCGCAGAATAGAGCAAACGTTATGAGATGTATGCATTACAGAGAGGTCCAAGCAAACTCGTCGCAAGCACCCGCAGAGGTAACTTTTTTTTGCTATATCTCATTAGTATTAGAAGGTACGCGTCTGCTGTGCGTGTCATTTTGAAGGAGAAGTTTTGAAGCTCATGTTTACATGGTTTATTTTTACTTAGGGCCCTCGAAATCTCTGAATAACCTTGAAAAGAAGGACCAAGAAAAGGATTCGAGCGAGGATAGCAATATGAGGTTTGCATCAACAGTAACTGAGAAGATCTTTTTATAATTACCATTTATCTTCAAAATCATTGCATCTTTTCAATGACATCATTATTAAGCTCAGAACTAGTATCAATGACAGCGTAAACAAAGAACCACGTGTGTTTACAGGTGTGATGCAATAACGTTAAAAGGGGGGGGGGGATAAAGCCAGAGACTAATTTTCTTTTTTGTAGCATTCGTTATCTGAACATTTTGATATTTATATAAAGTGTCGAAGACTCCTAGGATTGTGACAAAGAATGTTTTAGGAAATCTTATTGAATAGGAATGAATCCAGGAGTTTTCCCCGGGGTCAGTCTAGACAAACTCCAAAAACGGCGTGAACTCCGAAAAAGGAAGTCTTTGGCTCCATCATGCATTGCCGCAAAATGGCGTCCGATGTAAACAAACGATGGATTGTCGTTCGCTTTCTCCAAATATATGGCTGTATAATGGCTGTATTTAGTGCATTCACTGCATTGTGACTTTATTTTAATTTTTTGTTGAATGGATATTAACGTTTATTAATATATTCGATCAGTGCATATTATCTATTCAAGATATATTACTAAAGTCAGGTACTCTTCACACAATAGCTCCGACGAAAATAGTTCCATTCATGATCAGTAGATACAAGATTACAACAAATGTTAAGAATAATGATGTATATTTCATACGTTAAAGAAAACAAAATTAACGTAAAAAGATTTTAAGAAAATCACCTTTTCCCCGGAAAATCAAATAAAAAATTTTCATATTCCTACGCTCGCTGCCTCCTCAGTCTTTTTCCCGAAAATATATAGGTCATACTTCGATTGATAATGATAAATCTTTTCACCAGTTATATTACTGTCATTATTATTGTTTGTTCATTGCCTTATAATTTCTTTTGAATGGATATGTTAATCATTAACTGTGTGTTTTTTTCTCTCTTTTAATGAATAACGGAATGATTATTATGGTTAAACACCTGCAATCGTAACCTCTCGGCAAAGCAACGTAATGTTCCGAGCTCATCTGAAAGGATCTTCGCACGTGTGTAGACGACCTAGGCTATTTGGTCTTGCAAGCACAGGTGTGTGCACCGTTTGCTAGAGACGCTTAGATCACGTAGACTGGGTATCAGTATTTGCTACGGAAATGAAGAAGTTTAGAACTATACACCAGTTTCATAAGAAGTGCAGGTTTTTTACTCAAGCCCTAAATTGGGCTAGAGGGGCTGAGTTATCTAAAACGAGACTAGGTCATCGATCTACTCAGTTTAAAAACACGAAAATATACTAAGTTTATCTTCAAAACATCTGTATATTCAAAATCTATATTAAGTGTTAAATGTCGGATTCTATCCTATGACGAAGGAATATTCAGTGATGCTCCATAGCCGCAACCGATCTTGCGCTTTCCTTTGCGTTTAACAACGGCCGTCAATGCATCTCTGGACAAGTTCATTGATTACATTCTAAAAGGTGACATGTTGACCATCATTAACATCTGCCTATACTATGGGTGATAGTAATTTAATAGCACAAAATTAAAAAATAAATTAAAATCTATCCTTGATAGATCTACAGTTTTGCTATTTAAAAAAAAAAGGGGCTATCTTTGATAATCCATAACGGCTTGAACTTGATTTGAATTTTTTTTTTTTTTTTTTTTTTTTTTTTTTTTTTTTACAGAAGATTATATCATTGGAAAGTTAGATGGTACACATGTAGCACAGGCCCATATAGTACGCGGGATTTTTTTTCGGAGCCCCCCCCCCCCCTTTCACTTTGAAAACGTTGCTACAGGCCTGTAACATGCTATTTGGTTTAAATATTCCTGAAAATGAGTGAGGTGTTAAATACATTTTTAAAATTATACGATTAATTATATTTAGTCTATGTTCTATGTGAAATTAAAACTATTTTTAGCGACTTTGTGATAGTCACTACATGCATCTACATCTAACGTTATATATGAACTTGCAGTTTGTTTCCTAGTACATGCATATTTTATTCAACAAAAGATGTTGAAACTCAGTAGCCTAAATATTTTGTCGTTTTAGGATATTTATGGCACTTTTATTATGACTTTCTACAGCTTGAGTATCTCTGACGTTTTGTCAGTAAATACTTGTTTTTTTTATTAGAAATCATCTGAGCACAATGAAAATTCGAATAAATTAAAAGTGGAATATCTTGGATATGGGGTAACCCATATCTATTCTTGTTAAATTATTTTGTGGATATTGACTTATTTATCGCTTCAAACTCTTGCATAATAGTAATTAAATTGGATATACGACATCGAATTCAATACTGCCGGTAAGAATTATTTTCTTTTTTGATTTATTGTCTCCTTGATTTAAATTTTATGTCGCTCCTACAATTAAGGTGCTTTTATTTGTTGTTGAAGACACCCAGCTTGTACTTATTTTAATCAGAAAATGCGTATTTTTCACCATGGAGCAGAGATATTCACAAGTTCATTTTTCGAAGACATGTTGTGACCTTAATTACAAATAGCTACTAATAAGAGTGTTTTTAAAGTTTTCATATTGATAGATAATAGTTTTAAAAATGTTTTCATAATAATATTTGTTCGTATGTAATAAACAATCGGTACATAACGATGGTAAGAACTTACACGTTCAATTCAGATGTAGTACACAAATAAAAAACCGGAATGCTAATTTATGTGTAAAATTCAGTCAAGTTTTTAACAGTTACAATATATATTGTCCCATTTTGCATGTATAAGCCTTTTATTATGCATATTTACTTCTCAAACGTATCATTTACTCTGTAATTGATCTGACTTCAAACGTCAACTTTGAGAGTAAATATCACCTTTTTTGCAAATAAAATCAAAAATCTGACAAATACGATCTCTTCCGAAGTCTTTTATTTAGCATTTCTGAGTACTGGCATAATTGCCATACTTTCCAAAACTTTGCACGGACAGTTTTTGTAGACCCATCATTTTTGCCGAAAAATCGCCATTTTTTGTGTGTGTGCGCATGCGCGGACTCTATTTTTGGAGTCTTTTTCAGTCTCAATTTCTTACTTCCGGAAACACTGTTTTTGGAGTTCGTCTAGACTGGGGGTGGGGTTACTCACTAAAAAAAAAAAAAAGAAACTAGAACTGTCCAAAATGGACTAATACCCCCGCTAGGTTTTTCAGAGAAGGTGCCAAGTCACTAATGCTAGTATTTGATGGATCTAAGTGGTGTTCACAATTTATTTAAACATTTAGAGTGAAAATTTAACGATAATTGCCATTGAATGAAATTAAGGCACAGCCTAACAAACCATCAATACTAATAATAACATTGTTTTTTATTACAATGAAAAAATAAACAACAGTTTTTCAAGTATTTCTCAATTGGAAAGTATGGATGCATTATTTATCCATTTTTTTTTTACAGTGACTATAGGTCAAGGTCATGACACACCCTCAGGTCATAAGCAATCTCTGTGTGAGGTGGAAACTCCCAACATCCCAACACTATTCTCCATAAGAAAGATATGGACCGGACACAAACTAAGAACTTTTTTTTGTCAATGATCTTGAACTTGCACAAAGGACCTTGGGTCAAGGTCATGACACACCCTCAGGTCATAAGCAATCTTCGTGTAAAATGGGAACTCACCAAATTTATCCAACCAGACACAAATTATGAACTTTTTCTTTCAAGTGACCTTGAACTTGCCCAATTGACCTTGGGTCGAAGTCATGACACACCCTCAGACCATGAACAATCTTTGTGTGAAGTAGTAGGTTCTAATTTTCTTTCATAAAGAAAGATATGGACCGGACACATTTGCACAGATGGAAAGCTAGACAGACGGACAAGCCACAAGGTGATTCCGCCCCCAAACTTTGTTTGCAGAGGGTATAAAAAGCACAAAATACCTATTTCGTTGGGGTGGGGGGTTACACAGTTTATCTAGTGGACATGCCACTTTCCTTCTTATATGTATGACATTTCCTATCAACTTAGGAGGGGTCCTTGTTTTGAAGGGGAGGGGGGTCCAAGTAATTTTTACACTAATGTATATAAATATTAAGTTAAAACTATTTTTATTTTAAACTATTTTAACTTAATTAATATGTATATTTATATGTATGAAATTATTCATAATAAATTGAAACTAAGAGTTACGGAAGTCGGTAATCACCCCCTTCATTATGATAAATTAAAGAATGATCTTTCATTGCAGCTCTCCAAAACCAACTTTTAATTACAATCAACATCATGTAAATGGTAAACGTGGATTTTCCCGATCAAATAGTAGTAGCTCAGCAGAAGCAATGACTCCCCAACATGAGGAAATAGTTAGATATCTGTATGATGGTAAGTTCAGTGGTTGTCAGTTTACTCATTCTATTGTAAATAAATAATGCACAGTCATGAAGATGAAAATAAGCTAAATTAAGCAATGTTCTAGACAAAGGTTATTTCATGTTAATAATTTTGAGGATTTCTTTATTGTTTTACATCAGAATATGTGTTATATTTCCAGCATGGGTAAAAGTAAACAATGAACTGGAAGCGTGTTCTCGTAACCAAAGAGAAGGTAAGTTGTGTAAGCTAAAAAGTATAAAATTATAGATTCTTTTATATTAAAAATTTTATTACATGTATAACAAAATTAGATTTTTGTTGTGAACAAATGAGAATCAGTCAGAACATCTTCCCAAGTCAAGGGTTTCTGATCCACTCCACTCCACATAAACAGAATAGACTAATTTTGACGGGGTTTAAAGTGCACTCTCTGAATGGTCTCATACAAGTTTGCATCAGCCAATCAAAACCATTGATTTATTAAACCTGAAACTAGATCGTAAATAGAAAAACATGCCAGTTTTAGTCCCAACAAAAACGGCATTTCCATTTAATAACCTTAGTTGAATTTATGTTGAATTTATTACCGACTTCCAATATTTTCTCGTATTCTCTATTTAATTTGCTTACTCTGATTGATCAATAGCAGAGGTCAGCACAATTCAAAATGTGTAAACTAGACGGCATGATAGTAAACCCTGTCAAACTTAGTCTATTTGGTCAAGGGTTTATATGGAACGGAGTTGATCAGAAACCTTTGACTGGAGAAGATGCAGTCAGAATGATTATTGATTTAAAGATTTTTAATTCCTTTTCAAACTTTTTATATATTGTAAAATGGATTGTTCAAATATTTTATGTATTGTAACATTTTTTTTAGGTCACCTGAGTAAACTCAGGTGACCTATTGCTATATGTTTACATCTGTCGTCGTGCATCCTTAGTTGTGTGTTAACAATTGAACATTTTCAGCTTCTTCTCTGAAACTGCTCAACCAATTTCAACCAATTTTTGCATATAGCATCTATGGATGAAGGGAAACAAAAATTGTGAATTTCATTGTTCCTGCCCCCCCCCCCCCCCCCCCCCCCCCCCCAGGGCCTGAGGATTGGGACCAAAACCACTAAAAATAATGCAATCTTTAAAAATCTTCTTTACTCCTGGACATTAAGTAGTGAAACTGTTGGCATGATTGTAATAAGCATTGAGCCCTCTACCAAAATTGTGAAATTCATGGTCCCAGGGTCAGGGGTTCTGGTGCCAGGACGGGGCTCTGTTGAATATATAGTGAAAATGCATTATTTCTTTGAAAAATCTTCTCCTCTGCTCCTGGGTTTTAAGCACTCAAACTAAATGCATAGTTATGATGAGGAAGGGTGCCTATACCAAAATTGGGAATTTCATGGCTCCTCGGTCAGAGGTTCTGGTGTTAGGGTGGGGCTCTATTGATTATATAGTGAAAGTGCATTAATTCTTTGAAAATCTTCTTCTCTGCTTCTGGGTATTATGTAAACAAAGTAAGTGCATAGTTATGATGAGTAAGGATGGCTGTTCCAAATTAGTGAAATGAATGGCCACAGGTTCAGGGGTTCGGGGGGGGGGGGGGGGGGGGGGGGCTCTATTGATTATATAGTAAAAATGCATAATTTCTCTGAAAATTTTTTTTTTGAAAATATTTTTTCCTGTTTATAAAGCAAAGAATCTAGGTGAATAGTTATGGTGAGCAAGAATGCCTCTTCCAGAATTGTGTTTCATGGCCCCTGGGTCAGATATTCTGGTGTAAATGTGAGGATCTATTGATAACATTGTCAGAATGTATTGGTTCTATTAAATAATCTTGTCTGAAGAGATAAAAAAGTGCATAATTATGATGAGCAAATTTTAAAACTTGTGGTCCCAGGGCCAGGGGTTCTGGATATGGGAGGGGGTGGCTCTATTGATTATCTATTAAAAATGTGTCATTCTTTAATTCTTTGAAAATCTTCAGCATAGTTTTGATGAGTGAGGGTACTTCTTTTTTTTTGAATTCGGTAAAATCAAGACGAGCAGGTGGTGCAGAACAATAATGATATCTAGCAATGTGTATTTAAAAAAAAAGGAATAAATGAGGGGGATATGGTACAAAAAGGTAAATGAACAAGCATATTATAATTTATCTTTATCATGGGAACAATTTCTTTTTTTTTAACATCAGGTTGTCCAGACACATTTATTTGTATGGAAACGCAATCAAATTGATCTGGAATTTTACCTTCGATGATTTAAATTTTTACGGACATGCTCAATTCGTAAAAATTTAACCGTAAAAATTAAATCACCCTGTTTCAGTCAAAATTTGTAAAAATTTACAGCAGTAAAATAACCCGTTTTACGATATTTCTTTGAAAATCTTCTCTGTCCCTGGACATCTCAGTAAAAATTTTAATAAGCAGGGTATTTTTACTGAATTTTTGAAGTTCTGTACCATTTGGTCAAGTGTTTTGGTGCTGACCAGGGCTCTATTCATTTGTATGCTACAGAGAGAAGTTATTTCCCTTTGCCATTCACCTTTGATTATTAATCATTGTAGATGTTGTATTTAAAAGGTTAACAGAATTAGAGAATTATGCAAGAATTTTTATTGTATAATTCAAAATGTACTTTCATTGTTTAAATGATTAGGTAGATTTGTAATTAATTGATAAATAAAAATGAAACAAAAATACCTTATTAAATGTTCTCCAAAGACCAAGAGAGACCAATGTAAGAGGTTAGAAAATGGGCTTAAGGACATACGCAACATAGTTTGAACTTTATTGTCTTTTTCCTTGGAGTTGAAGAGTTCCAATACTTAAAGGAACTGTGTGCTAAATTTTAATGTCTATATATGCTATTGTACACTTCTTCTAAAACAAGTTTGGATAAACAAAACATCTAGAATATATGTTTAGTAATTTTTGTATATTTTTCTTTGAATTAGACAAGAATTTTCATCAATTGATATCTTTTCAAAACCCCTGGTAATGCATGCTGATTTTTTGTCTACGAACATCTGATAGCACTATAATCTTAAATTAAGAATATCTCGAAAAAGTATCAGTAGGTAAGGTATGTTGCGTATGTCCTTAAAATAATATAGAAGCATTATTGTGATAAATGGGGGCAAGAACTTACTTTATCATGTTTATTAGCTGTTACTGATAATTGATCCTGATCCTCCTATTTCTCTTGCTCTTGGGCAACAAAGCTTCACCTATCAGTTTATTTTATACATTCTATGGATCCATTACATTGTTGTATTATACTCAGGTGACCGTTAAGGCCCTTGGGCCTCTTGTTTAAAAAATGTAAGTTCTTACAGTTCATATATATTTTTAATGCATATTATTTTGATACAGGAGGACCTATAGTGTATAGAGATAAAAATCCAAATAACCCCACCCTTGTTAGTAAGTATTGTCAGAAAGAGTTTACTTCCTTTTCCGTAATCTATTCTACATAAGTGACACATTTGTTCTAAAATTTTGCAGTATTCGTTTTCTAATATGTTCAGAATCTTTCAGATTTTAAGCCTTTTGATCTTGAATCCTACTGGGGAGACCGTCAACTGAACAGTTTGAATATACAGAAATAATTCTCAGAGAGGGAGTCATACTACCAAAGTCTTTCTACTGGCATTTTTAATTCATTATTTACAATTTTATTGTCAAATCATTCATATTTTAACAGAGACAGTAGTAAATGTCAAGTTTTTATTTCTTGTAAGCTGCTTGTTAAACAGCAGATTAAGAAATAGTATCATTTATGTATTTGTTTAAGAACTGATTGTTTTTTTTTTTAAGAATCTTCATTTGTGATGATTTTAAGACAGGTTGTCAATAAAAAAATAATAAAACCCATATTATTTGCTTTTTCTGTCAGTTTTTTTGGAAGAGGTATTTGATGTCAGGACTGCAGATAGTTAAAAGTTTTAAAAGGTGTATAAGAGTTTGTACCAGAAAAATTACCTAATTTCATTAACAATATTTGACAGCATATTTGAATTTTTTTTAACTCACTTGAACTCACTTGAACTGAAAGCTCAAGTAAACATAATTAGACATCTGTCAGCCTAGCTTTCTATGTGTCCGTTTGTATTAATTTTTCTCATTTTCAACCACTGGGCCAATTTTTAACCAAAGTTGGCTTGAAGCATCCTTGGGTAAAGGGAATTCATTCTAAATTGTTCAAATGAAGTGCCAAGCCCCTTCCAAGAGTTGATAATCAAAAAAAGGCAAAATAGGGTGTTCTCATGAAAGAAATCTTCTCAAGAACCACTGGACCAAAAAAAGTTAAACTTATCTGGAAGCTTCATGAGGTAGTATAGATTGTAAAGTGTTCAAATCATGGCCCCTGGGGGTAAGATCGGGCTTCAAAGTTTTATATAGTAAAAAATAAAATAAAATTTTAAGATCTCAAAATCGGCAAAGCTGTGATAAGTCATATTAATATGAACAACTCTTTAAAACTTTGTCTTGTTAGATCACCTGAGCCGAAGGGTCGAGTGGGCTTTTCTCATCAAAATTTGTCCGTCATTGTCCTAAACTTTTCTCATTTACATCTTCTCTAGAACCACTGGACCAGCTTAATTCAAACTTCCAATAAAGTATCCTTGGGTGAATGGCAATCAAGTGTATCTAAATGAAGGGCTTTTCAAGGGAAGTTAATTAATAAGAATTAATGAACATTTAATGGCATCTTTCAAAAATCTTCTTAAGAACCACTTTGCCAGAAAAGATTAAAAAAAAAACCTTCAGTAAAGGCTTCATTATATAATGAAGATTCACGTTTGGTTAAATTATGTCCCCAGGGGATAGGGTGGGGCCGCAGTGGGTGGTCAACGTTTTACATAAGAATGCATAGGAAAAATCTTCTCAAGAACAGCAAAGCCATGGTTAGTCATATTGATATGGAAGCATCATCAGGTAGCGTGGATTCAAGTTTGTTCAAATCATGACCTCCGGGAATATGGTGAGACCGCATTTTACATAGGAATAAAAGAACAGCACGACTGTAGTGACTTAGGTGAACGTTTTGGCTCACAGGCCTTCTCTTTAATGAATACTGAAAATGGCCAATATTTTCCTCATTTAGCTAAATTTAGCTTTGTAATTGCATTGTGTTCATTGTCCATTTGTTGTTTATATATATATATATATATATATATATATATATATATATATATATATATATATATATATATATATATTGACTGCCAGATCGAGGTATAATATGTATGCTGTTTTGGATCTCGTAACCAGCCTCTATAACCAGGCAGAGCGCATGCGTGAAATAAATTTCCATCGAGATCGGAAAACAGCAGAGAGGAAATTCGGAATATATAATGGAAACTAGTAATGCGGAATGATACTATAGTCAGATGCAGAATTTTTTGCATAATTCGATCAACTTTTATTTTAAAAAGCAGAAGAATAAATGAATCAACTTTACAGTTAGTTTTTATTTATCTATTTATTAATTAATTAATTAATTTATGTATTTATTTATTTAATTATTAATTAATTAATTTATTTATTTAATTTATTTATTTATCATTCTTATAATAAATTAACTAAGTAACTGATTAATTTATTAAAAATATATATTTGTATTTTTTTTTAAATTCATTTATAACATTCTTTCCTTCATTTATTAATTATTCCATCCATTAATTAATTATCTATTAATTAATTCATTGATTTATTAATTTGTATGCATGTTTGTTTATTTATTTATTTATTATTCTAATAATTAAGTAATTGATTAATTCATTAAGAAGTTCATTTATTTGTTTGTTTATTTATTTATCATATTCATTCCTTCATTTATTTCGTATTCTATTAATTAATTTATTTATTTATTTATTTATTTATTTACTTATTTATTTATTTATTTATTCATTTTTTTATTTATTTATTTATTTATTTATTTATTATTTATCTATTTATTTATGCATTCATTTATTCGTATTTTTATTTATTTCTTTATTTTTTATTTCTTTATTGATTGATTGATTGATTTTTGCATTTATTTATTGATTTATTTATGCATTTATCATATATTTCCTTTATAAATTAATTATTTTTACAGGGTTTGTATACTTATTACCAGGGTCTGTTTATGTATTGCCATAGTTTGTATACCATCACCAGGGTCTATATACCTATCACCAGGGTCTGTATACCTATCACCAGGGTCTATGTACCTATCACCAGGGTCTGTATACCCATCACGAGGGTCTGTATACCCATCACCAGGGTCTATAAACCTATCACCAGGGTCTATATACCCATCACCAGGGTTTGTATACCCATCACCAGGGTCTGTATACCTATCACCAGGGTCTGTATACCTATCACCCGGGTCTCTTTACTTATCACCAGGGTCTGTATACCTATTACCAGATTCTGTATACCTATCACCAGGGTCTATATACCTATCACCAGGGTCTGTATACCTATCACCAGAGTCTATATACCCATCACCAGGGTCTGTATTATCTATCACCAAGGTCTGTATACCCATCACCAGGGTCTGTATACTTATTACCAGGGTCTATGTACCTATCACCAGGGTCTGTATACCCATCACCAGGGTCTATATACCCATCACCAGGGTCTATATATCCATCACCAGGGTTTGTATACCCATCACCAGGGTCTGTATACCTATCACTAGGGTCTGTATACCTATCACCAGGGTCTGTATAATCTATCACCAGGGTCTGTATACCCATCACCAGGGTCTGTATACCCATCACCAGGGTCTATAAACCTATCACCAGGGTCTATATACCCATCACCAGGGTTTGTATACCCATCACCAGGTTCTTTATTATCTATCACCAGGGTCTGTATACCCATCACCAGGGTCTGTATACCTATCACCGAGTCTGTATACCCATCACCAGGGTCTGTATACCTATCACCAGGGTCTATATACCTATCACCAGGGTCTGTATTATCTATCACCAGGGTCTGTATACCTATCACCAGGGTCTGTATACCTATCACCAGAGTCTATATACCCATAACCAGGGTCTGTATTATCTATCACCAAGGTCTGTATACCCATCACCAGGGTCTGTATACCCATCACCAGGGTCTATAAACCTATCACCAGGGTCTATATACCCATCACCAGGGTTTGTATACCCATCACCAGGGTCTGTATACCTATCACCAGGGTCTGTATACCTATCACCAGGGTCTGTATAATCTATCACCAGGGTCTGTATACCCATCACCAGGGTCTGTATATCCATCACCGGGGACTGTATTATCTATCACCAGGGTCTGTATATCTATCACCAGGGTCTATATACCTATCACCAGGGTCTGTATACCTATCACAAGGGTGTGTATGCCCATCACCAGAGTCTATATACCCATCACCAGGGTCTGTATTATCTATCACCAAGGTCTGTATACCGATCACCAGGGTCTGTATACCTATCACCGAGTCTGTATACCCATCACCAGGGTCTTTATACCCATCACCAGGGTCTGTATTATCTATCACCAGGGTCTGTATACCCATCACCAGGGTCTGTATACTTATCACCAGGGTCTATGTACCTATCACCAGGGTCTGTATACCCATCACCAGGGTCTGTTTACCCATCACCAGGGTCTATAAACCTATCACCAGGGTCTATATACCCATCACCAGGGTTTGTATACCCATCACCAGGGTCTGTATACCTATCACCAGGTTCTGTATACCTATCACCCGGGTCTCTTTACTTATCACCAGGGTCTGTATACCTATTACCAGATTCTGTATACCAATCACCAGGGTCTTTTGACCCATTACCAGGGTCAGTTTATCTATCACCAGGTACTGTATACCAATCACCAGGGTCTCTTGACCCATCACTCGGGTCAGTTTATTTATCACCAGGTTCTGTATACCAATCACCAGGGTCTCTTGACCCATCACTCGGGTCAGTTTATCTATCACCAGGTTCTGTATACCAATCACCAGGGTCTATATACCCTTCATCACGGTTTTTTCTTCCCTCGTGCAGGGTCTAGTTCCCATCTTTTTAGTAGGGTGACCTTCAACATAGTTTGCATTATGAAAATGAATCAAATTACTTTTTAGGGTGTCTTCATAAACGTAACATCTTGTGGAGAACGTATGAGTTGTTTAATGAACTATAATGATTTTATTGTGATTAAGATGCCTTGACTCTAATGTTATATTGATCTTATTTACTTTTTATTTTGTAGTGTAAGCCTGTCAAGGAGGAAGCAAAGGACATAGAAACTTATAACAATGGACAAAGATTTATATTTGTGTGGAACTATCTTTACATTGTAAATGCCAATGTATCCTGATTCCTCTATTGCATAAATCGAGAGAAATCTAAAAATTCCATTATGTTGTTTACTTGTTCCAGAGAAAATGTGAAGATATACATATCTACATAATTAATCAATAAAGTGTGAAATTTTAAAAATTATCATAAAAGAAGAGCAACCAACACAAAGTTCAAATTTCTTCTTTGTTCGTGACAGTAGAACAGTAGGATAATAGTGCCAAAATTTGTGTTCTACAAAACCTAGCTGTCATGTTGTCAAGAAGGAGACCCAGTGTATTTTCACTGCATGGAAATGATATGGAATGTCTTTAATCGTTTTTTGTTGTTTTTTTTTTCTTTTTGGTTGGGATGCAATCGTCTATGGCATATTGTGACTGTCGTGGCGGCTCATCATATTTAAAATTATTATATATTTTTAAAGTGGGATGTTCTGTTTAAAAGCTTAGGACCAAGGATCGAGTTATGATTTGAAAGTCGATCAAACTTCAATGTCAAGTTTATGAGATTAAAAATCAAAGTATATTTGGAAGGTCTTGTTACAGCT